TCGGATAAACATCTGCCTTCACCATGGGACTGTAAGGCTCATGAAGATGACACTAGCTGGGAAGAAGATTTTCACTTTTCATTTTATTCTATTTTGTACTGTTTGAATGTTGTAGCCATCTATTAAAGGATTTTTTAGAGGTAAAATCATGACTCATACAAATTAAAATGAATTGATGTCAGAATTTGATTTAACTCATCAGTTATTGAGAAAATCAGTAAGATGTTATAACCAGTTCAAAGGAGAATTCTAAGAATCATGTGAATATGGAAAATCAGGAATGCTAAAATGAATTTGTAAATAGCTGAAAAATAGATCTATCCTCAGGAAAATAATTAATTGAATTCTAGTGGACACAATCATCTGCATTTCTATGGACAAAAAAATCATTTGCATTATTACCAATTTTCTACAATATATAAAGTTGTAAAATAGCTCCAAAACAACGAAAGGCTGAGATAAGCTGGAAGAGCACACTCAAGATGATACATAGTAATATTTTTTAACTACTTTAAAATTTTTCACAATTTTTCTTGCTAGATCTATGTATGTTTATTATATGCTAATAAGTAAATAAATGATTACCTAATTTTTAATAATGTCAGCAAAAGTTATCTACGTAGAGGATTATGGTATACCCTTCTATATGTGTTTATATACCAGAAAACTCATAAATTTAAAGAATTAGATCATCTGTGTCTTTATTTACTTCTTATTTTACGTTAAGCATAATATACTACAGCATATGATTACTTGTATAAGTTATTGGTCCACCTAAAATTATTCCTCCCTACCAAATTTGCACTTACGTATGCCATTGTGATAAAGCAATTGGTAGAAATCAAAATCAGTACTATACGTTAAAACAGTGCTAGGTGTATATTTAGAATTAACACCAAAACTATTATATGCTTGTTGTTTATTTTTAAAGACAAGAATTATCTATACCCACACAATGCTCTTAATTTGCCTGGCAATAATTACTCCAGTGTTCCCCTTCTTTCAGATGAAAAAAAAAAATTCAAAAGGTGACTACCCACAATTTGTATAACATAAAGAAAAGGAAAAGTAGCAATTTCCACAGACTATTATTCTTAATTAAAATTTTTATTGAACTAATTTTAGATTCTCATGTAACTGTAAAAAATAATACTAAGAAATCCCCCTCACACTTTGCCCAATTTACCCTATAGGTAACATTTTGCAAAACTATCATATAATAGCCAGGATATTGACATTGAAATCTTAGATTTCCTCAGTTTGACCAGCATCCATCTGTTTTGTGTGTTGTGTGTATGTGTGTATGTGTGTGTGTGTGTAAGTTATATTATTGCCTGTGTAGGCTTATATATCCACTACCACAGTGGAGATAAACCACAAGGGCCTAAATGTAAGAAGTAAAACTACAAAACTGTTAAAAGAAAATATAGATATAAATCTTTGTAACTTTGTATTAGTCAATGACTTCTGAGAGATGACATCAAAACCACAAGGAACAGCAAATAAATAAATCAATAATAATTGAGAATTAAATTTTCAATAAAGTTATGGAAATTTAAAATTTTGTGCTTCAAAGTACGCCATTAAGAAAGTGAAAGAACCAGGCATGTGGTTTGAGCCTATAATCCCAGCTACGTAGGAGGCTGAGGTGGGAGGATACCTTGAAGCCAGGAGTTTGAGCAACAGAGGGAGACTTTGACTCTAAAAAAAAAACAAAACAAACAAAAAAAAAAGGTCGGGTGTGGTGGCTCATGCCTGTAATCCCAGCACTCTGGAAAGCTGAGGCGGGTGGATCACCTGAGGTCAGGACTTCGAGTAAAAATCATAAAATCTGCACATAGTAATAAATGTTAGGAACAAGGCAGTTAAAGATTAGTAACAACCAGTTTTATTGGGATTTTAGGAACTTGCAGGGGAGAATGTGAGTGCTCGTTATATTTTATATATATCATAAAGTTAAAATTAACGAAAGTAGAAATAACATGCATTCACATGTTGAAAAACCCTGATAGTAATGCAGCTACAAATATTCACTGTCATTTGAGAGCAAGATTTTTAAGAAGTTAAAATTATTTGAATTACGCCATAACTATTCTAAACATCTACTAAATTAAACAAAGAATTTTGACTAATTGGGTACCCTTTCATAGGTTCTTCTCAGTTTGTCAGCTAGATGACATATTCCTACACTGTACTTTGCTGATATAATTAAACTATGGATTATCTCTGAATTAGGCTGGGTACCACTGTGATATAATAAAAGGGAGAAGTAGCAGAACATAGTCTAGTTGTTAATAGCATGGACTTTGGAGCCAGGCTTCCTGGGTTCAAACTCCAGTCCACCATTTAGTACTCTTTGAAATATGCCTATTTTTGTTCAAAAAGGAATATGTGCACTCTTCTTGGGAACAGCTGTAGTTTCCACAATATTTTAAAAGAGCTGTTGATTCCAACAGGAATTTAGTTCCCTAAAATCAGCGGCAGTAGAACATTTTGATGTACGAAAGTTATTCATGCTAGGACTCCGGTGGTATTTTCCCTCACTGCCCCTAAATTCAGCCATTTCTATTCTTTAAGGCTCTATAATAAACACTTGATTTGAAGTCTGATCCATTTTTAAATTGGGAACGGGGAAGACACCTCTCAAAAAGTCAGAACCTCCAAGCCTTTGGTCAGGGCCAACTATATAATCTCTGTGAGCCGATGTGAAATGAAAATATGATGCTCCTTGCTAAAAATGCAAGACAAAAACCTTCAGCTTACCAATAAGTAGAGAAAGACTGAAAAGAAAAGGAATTGTGGAATGTCTTACCTTTCCTTTTCCTTTCACGCCATCACTTTTAGTGTAAGTGGTTAGCAAATATAATAAGGTTGCTTGGGCATGGTGGCTTAGCCAGTAATCCCACTTTGGGAGGCTGAGGCAGGCGAATCACTAGAGCTCAGGAGTTTGAGACCAGTCTACGCAACATGGCAAAACCCTGTCTCTACAAAAAAATACAAAAATTAGCGGGGCGTGGTGGTGGGTACCTGTAATCCCAGCTACCTGGGAGGCTGGGGCAGGAGAACTGCTTGAACCTGGGAGGTGGAGACTACAGTGAGCAGAGATCGTGTCACTGCACTCCAACCTGGGAGACAGAGCAAAACTCCGTCTCAAAGAAAATAATAATAATTTCAAGACGGCAAGGGTGAGTCCTTCTGAGCACTTTGTACTTAGGTCCCTAACTACAAAATAAGTGGTTCATGGAAGCCATTTAGTGAGCATCCTGAACACTGTATGACATGGGACAAAAAAACAGTGACAGACACGCATTGCATGAATCACATCTGCTCACAAGATTGCTCCATTGCCTCATCAGACATAACTTACAAAACGTAAGTTCAAATATAAACTACTAAGCATTTCAAGATGGCCACAGCAGAGCATTAAACCAAATGCACAGCCCTTCTAAGCACCGGTTGCCTGCTGATGAAGCTGGCCCTACTCTCTGCTCTCACTTTCCACTTCATACTCTTCTGACCTCAAACAACAAAAAAGCTCTCTGCCCATTCCTTCTTGATGCTTCTGCACATATAAGCCACATTGCCCAGTGGCAGTAAACTGAGGATTAATGGAGTTGGTCTGGTTAACTTGGAAAACAAGGGAGTTGTTGGCTGGAGAAGGGTGTTTCAGCCTCTTCCACTCAAGCTAGGACCGGTCCCTAGATTAGAGCAAGCACGTGTTAGCTACCTTTAAAAAACAACAACACACCTTCATAAAGAATGCCTAGATTCAAAGCATTTGTTACGTTTTCATTTGTTCCTTTATTGTCCCAGTGAATATTTACTACCTACTTCAAATTGCAACGAGATGCTGACAATTTAGCTATCGATAAAGCAGATGTAGTTCCTGCCCCTATTCAACTTCAAGAAACAGGCAATGAACAAGTCAGTGTCACAAGGAATACTCCAAAAATGCAGGGCACTAAGAAAGTGTAAAACAGATACGAAGGGGCTTTAGGGTCAGATAAGTCTTTCTGGAAGAATTCATCTGTACAGTGAAACTTCAGTATACATATGAGAAAGTCAGGCCAAGGGAAAGACTGTTCTTGACAGAACAGTATTGGCAAAAGTGGCAAGAATTTTAAGAAAATGTACAAGTGGTGGAACCAGGAATCGTGGGGCTCTTTAAGGACAAAATATCTTAAAAGAGTTTGAACTTCACCTTAAATGCAATAGGGAGCCACTGTCAAGTTTCCTATTTGATACTTGTTTTGTAAAAATATTACTCTATGAAGAATATAGGGAGTCTGCGGTCAGAGTGGGTACTAGTGTCATTTTGGGAATAAGATTAGGCTGGAAGCTGGATTGGGGGGAAAAAAGTGGGCATGCGAGAAACTTAGAAAGTAGAGTTGAGAAGACCGTGTGACTGACAGGATGGGCAAAGGTTAAGAGAGGATAAAGAATCATTAAGGATGATTTATCAGGTTTCTAGTCGGTAACTGGATGAATGTTGGTGCCATTTCTCGAGAAGAGTTAAAGAGCCAGAGGTAGCCGGCAAAGAGAAACATGGAGCTCCAATTTTCAGGTATCTGCAGTTTCCCTAATACCTCTTTAATCCAGAATTTGCTCCTTGCTTTGGTTTTAATTCCCCTAAAAGCTGCTTCCGTGTTGCAAGCTGGCTGACCGCTTTAACAGGCAACCAAAGATTCTTCTCACAGGAGAAAGGCTTTGAGCACAACCTGGGACACTGGAAACTGTCAGACTGAAGAAACAGGAAGCTCTGGACTACCGATCACACCCCGTCTTAAAGGTTTCGGAGTGACTCCACCCGTCAAATCCTCACGTCTCTGAGGAAAAGGTCCCGGCGGGTCGCCGCGACCCGACCACCGGCTCCGCCCCCGGGCCCGATGGATGCCCGGATGTGGACGTGAGCGAGTTTGCGCCGCGTGACGTCGCCTGGCGGGGCGGGACTCTGCCAGCGCCAGTTGGTGTTGGGTGCACGTGACCGCCTCCCAGCCAACCAATGGAGGAACGAGGCGGAAAATTTCGAATGTGGCGACGGTAGTTCTAGGCGACGGGGTACGGTGGTACGGTCCTGGAGGGCTCATTGCGCGTGGCTCGCGCGGGAGAGCCTCGAAGAGCCCTGAAATGTGAGAAGGAGGAAGATAGCTCTTGCAGAAGTAGTGGCCAAGGTATGGTTCTGGACCAGCCCCACCTCCCTTCGGCTTTCCGCCTCCTGAAGGAGGAGGAAGTAGGTTTTAAGGTGGGAAACAAGGGCGTAGTGATCCGTGTTTGACTTCCCTTGGGTTCTCAATACCGTTCTAAATTCGGTGGCCGAAAGCTCGGGCTCTGGAGTCCCATTGGCCGCGCGCTTTTCGCGGTTCAGCCACTCGATCTGCCCGTTCAGATGTTCTGTCTTCCTCTTATGTTAAATAGATGGAGACCCTAATATCCTACTTTGCAAAATTGTGTAGATTAAGTGATGTGCAAATAAAGCTTTTTACGGTAGTTAAAAGCCTGGCTCAACGCAAGAAAATTGACAGCAGTTCTTTGAGCAGCGTGATACCGTTGACGTCCTCCTTGTCCAGGCCATTCTCTTTCTCACTTACCCTGAAGAGGCCGGCACTGACTAGTGTCCTACCTGGCTGTCTTCGCAGCAGAACTGATTGGATAATTATGAACGGAGATCAAATATGCTAGGTTCTTTTGAATCCAGAGCGCTACGCGAGTACTCTACAGATTGAGACCGTCATCTCGCGCTGTAGCCTGTCTTTGCTTTCATTCCTTCTGTCTACCACACCCCCTACTAACACCATCGCCTAATTTAGACAGGATATAAAACTTTTGATATGGAAAGTTTCTTTTGTGATTTTAGCTTGATTAAAAGTAATAACGAAAACTTTAAAATACCTTAACTAAACTAGATCAGTAACTTAATCTGTATGACTCTCAAACATCTCCAATTCTAACTTAATTGTGTAAAACAACCCCTTTACCATTAGTGCTTTTAAAAATAGCTATCCTATCTCTGCTAGGAACCTCCCAGTATATATTGTATATACCTTGGTAGAAAGTTCTTAATCTACAATATCTATATTTAAGATTCCAGACACTGCATAGAGGAAAATAAGGCCTGGAGAACATACTCAAGAAAGTGTAAGGTTTAGGAAAATGTTTGACTATCTTAGAGAAGGTAACGATATCCTTTGTGGTGAAAATTGTATGCATACATTATTATTGGAAACAAGTTTTTTTTCAATTTTAAGATATTCAAAGTGCAATCTAGAGTAAAAGATGTTTCTGAAAAGTGGTTTGACATGTTTAGTAGCATGCTAAAACCTACCTGACTTACAACATTGAAAGATTAAGTATACTTATGTATTTAATACTCAGCGTTTAACTGTATGTACAACAGTATTTTATGTCTGATTTGTTATGTTCATAATTCACTGGGAGTTAACAGCCCTAAGTTTTAGCCATACTTTGAGAATACTGGAGTGTTCTTCTGCCCAAGTTCCTGCTCTAGCTCTGTAATTGTTACAATAGCCTAATAAAATTGTATGTAGTGCTACACAGTTTAAACCTCTAAGGATCACCTTGACTTTCTTGAGAGTGTGTGTATATCATAAGCGATAATTAGGTTAAAATTATCTAATTATGGAAAAATAGTTGAATGACCTAATGTGATGAATTAATCATTAAAGAAGAGCTGGAAAACAAAACCCAGATATATAATTGCCTCAGGACTAATGCTATAAGCCTAAGCACTAAAAGTTGGTCCTAAACATTTTCTTTAAGAAGCATAAATAATAATGGCATCAAGATATAATAATAAGCATTTTCAATAGTGTCTGGCATATATGCCACAGTGACTATTTGTTAAAGAATGAATAAGTGGCATATTGTGGAATCTTTGGGTTGGAAATCTATATTCAATAAAACTTTTCTATAAAGTGCCTGAGGAGGAAGAGAGAACATCAAAAATATGAATGAGATTTTAAAAGGGGAAAATTTATGTTATCAAGTTAGTTAACTATCTACTTTGAGCTAATTCTACAGTTTAGTCTATTTAATGCATTCTTTATGAACAGCCTATGTTTTTTAAAGTTTTATATTTGATAATATTCTCTCTGAGAAAAATTATTTTTTATTGTTTAGGCAAAAGATGGCCAAGGAAAGATGCCTGAAGAAGTCCTTTCAAGATAGTCTTGAAGACATAAAGAAGCGAATGAAAGAGAAAAGGAATAAAAACTTGGCAGAGATTGGCAAACGCAGGTCTTTTATAGCTGCACCATGCCAAATAATCAGTAAGAGATTTTTATGTTGTCCTTTTATATCACTTTTAAGTTTAGATTTAATAACTGATAAATTTTTTTATCCTCTTTTAGCCAACACTTCTACACTGCTGAAAAATTACCAAGACAACAACAAAATGTTAGTTTTAGCTTTGGAAAATGAAAAATCCAAAGTGAGAGAAGCCCAAGATATCATCCTACAGCTGAGAAAAGAATGTTACTATCTCACATGGCAGCTATATGCATTGAAAGGAAAACTTACATCACAACAAACAGAAGAACCTGCTCAGGTATTTTCATTACTGAGGCCGAATTTCTTAGTTTAGTTAAGCCATGAATAAGTAGTTTAGACCAATTATTTTATTTAAATGAATTACTGATAGCTCAATTATGCATGAATTGTTTAAAATATCCTTCTTTGGTGCTTCAGAGCACAGCTATTGCATTTGGCCAGTTAAGAAAGCTTCAAGCATATAGGTGATTGAAGCCTGTTCCTGCCTATTTCATTCGTAAAGCAGGTAGCAAGACAGGATGCAGAAGACATAGTTTTAGCCTTTTGCATTGCTGCTCTATTTGAATGTTCAACTAAGTGAGTCAAAAATAGTGCAACTAAGCTAAAGATATAAAAGTGGTAGTTGAAGTGGACTCATCCAGAAGTTTTAATCAATGCTATCTTAGCTTTTACCTTAGCCTTTTGTTTTGCTATATCCAGTGGGGTTTTATAAGAACTACCCTTATTTAGGACATAGGGAGTATTTAAGTGCTTTTTGGAGAATCGTTTTTACCTACTTGTTGACTAAGTAGAGAAGACTGTTCACTCCCAGACAAGTAAGATCATAAACATTTTGCTGCTCAAATTTTCAATCTGATTTTCTTTTTGTCTGAGATTGTAAAGAAGGTGTTCAAATATGGTCCTACTAGCCAAAATATAACAGATATGGAGAAGGTTTGCTTTAGGATATTCTTTGTGTCTTGCTGTACCATTGTGTATTATTGTGTACACAGTAATGTGTGTCATTACTTATGAAAAAAGTAATGATGAGCTAGTTTATTTATCCCTTTTTCCAGTAGCCACTGCCAGGGAAATGGGGCAGAGAAAGAAAAAAAGCAGTGGTGAGTGTCAGGTGTACAGAACATTGAAATTCTTCCCAGTGGCTATTGCTTCGCTATACCAGTGAAAACATTTGAGTTGGCACTTAGACCGGAAGGTCAGATAAGAGAGTGAGAACATAATGATTAGGGGAGGGATATTGGGGGTGGGAGGAGGTGGGCGGGTAATTGAAAATGGAATTAACATCACTTCTCTATTGACAGGAGAAGTCAGTGAAAGAGTTCTTGCTTCACTCCCTATTGATTCCTTTTTTTTTTTCCTCCATGTGATTAAGACACATGTAATATATATGTATATATACACATAGACAATAAGTACATATATGGTATATTTGAGAACTGCCTCTATAAAGATTAGGTATATTTTCTTTACCTTCATGAGAGGTTTATATATACATATATATATATATATATATATTTTTTTTTTTTTTTTTGAGACAAGAGTCTTGCTCTGTCGCCAGGCTGGGGTACAGTGGTGCAGTCTCAGCTCACTGGAGCCCCTGCCTCTTGGGGTCAGGCGATTCTCGTGCCTCATCCTCCCGAGAGCTGGGATTACAGGCATGTGCCACCACACCTGGCTAATTTTTATATTTTTAGTAGAGACAGGGTTTTGCCATGTTGGTCAGGTGTCTTGAACTCCTGGCCTCAAGTGACCCACCCACCTCAGCCTCCTAAAGTGCTGGGATTACAGGCGTGAGCCACTGTGCTAGGCGTGGTAGATTACTTTTTTTTTTTTTCCCGCAGAATGTAATCTTTTCTAATTTTGTATTTTCCTTGTTCAGTCAACTAGTAGGGGGAAACAGTTCCTCTAAAGGCATTTGAATCTTCCTCTTCTTTTTACAAAGTTTTTGCTGAAAAACAGAAATAGTAGGAAGCGAATACTCGATGAGATAATTACAAAAGCAGTTGGGAAAAAATTCTATTACTGCAGCTCAGTGGTTTTTGAGTACTTATTAAAAACATTGTTAGTTGCTACGCAAATATATTCTTAGCATTTAGAATGTCAACGTTTGTATTTTCTGCTATATACTAATTGCTTGTGTCACTCATTCTCAACCTCATTGTACACCCATGCTTCAGTGCTTATCAAATCAATTTAGCAGTGATGGAGAAGCTTAAAACGTAAGAATTTTACAAGAATGTTTTCTTGCCTAGCCTAGCAATAGTTAACGTTTAGGTAATTTTTAACAGCCTTTTTGTTCCCTAATTTTATAGATTTTTTAATGACTTGTTTTTAAGTTATTTTAGTATGTAGTTAAATGTTCTTTTTTATTTACCTGCATTAATATTCGTTTCAGAACATTAGCTACATTGATATCAAATTTAAAGTTGTCATCTTTGGCTGGGGTAGGTTGCAGGGGACAGAGTCTCGCTCTTGCCCAGCCTGGGGTGCAGTGGTGTGATCACAGCTCACTGCAGCTTTCACCTCCCAGGCTCACGCACACTCAGCCTTCACCTCCCAGGTTCAAACGATCTTCCTGTCTCAGCCTCCTGAGTAGGTGGGACTATGGGCGTGCACTGCCACACCTGGCTAATTTTTTCTTTTTTTTGCCAGAGACAGGATCTTGCCATGTTGCCCAGGCTGGTCTTGAATTCCTGGTCTCAAGCAATCCTCCAGCCTTGGCCTCCCAATGTGCTGGGATTACAGGCATGAGCCACCACACCTGACTGAAAGCTTTTAATGGGATTAAATTTCTGGTTGTTTTGTTTTTAATGAACATTTTTAGCCTATTTATTATAATGTCAACATATGTTCATCAAATTTCAGAAGATAATTCAATTAAATTGGAATTGACTTCTTAGGAATTGAGTGAGAATTGTCATCTTCGTAACAGAGATCTACAAATCCACCTCTATACTTACGTTCTTCATCTTCCCTCTTGTTACAGTGGCAGAATGGCCCCTGTTCCTGCTAAAGGCAAGCACCACCCCCAGCCGCTCCCTAGCCCATGCATCAGATTTTCTCTTCTCACCTCCTCTACAACTTTATTCCTGGAAGATTGTTCTCTCTTCCATATATCCCCCTCTCCACTGGATCATTTCAGTCATCATAAAGATGTGCTTTCATATCTCTCAACCTTAGAGAAGAAGAAAGTAATGAAACCTCTCCTCGTCTCATATTTCTTTATCTCCTCATTTGTTTGCTTCCCTTCACAGCAGAACTTTTTAAAAGAAAACAGTATATTCTTCACTTCCTCAGCTTCCATTCACATTTGAAATGACTCTTTTATTTTTTTCTTTGAGACAGGATCTCGCTCCGTTGCCTAGACTGAAGTGCAGTGGCATAATCATGGCTTACTGCAGCCTTGACCTCCCAGGCTCAAGTGCTCCTCCAAACCTCAGTCTCCTGAATAGCTGGAACACCACCACGCCCAGATAATTTTTAAACTTTTTTTTGTAGAGACCACCTCACTGTGTTGCCCAGGTTGGTCTTGACCTCCTGGGTTCAAGTAATCCCCCTGCTTCAGCCTCTTTAAATGCTAGGAATACAGGCATGAGGTACCACACCTGGCCTGCAGCCACTCTGAATCTAGATTTGATCCTTACCATTCTGTTGTCACTGCATGTCAAGGTCACCAAAACCTCCATGTTACCAAATTCAGTGGTAACTTCTCTTTCTTCTTGACCTTGCAGTAATAATATGTAAAACAGGGACCACTCTTTACTTGGCATACTTTGATCTATTAGTTTTTATGATATTATGCTCCCCTGGTTTTTATTCTACCTTTCTGACTATTCCATGTTGGTCTCTTTTGCTGATTTCTTCCTCATTCTACCTTTAAATGTCAATTCTTGGCCAGGCACATTGACTCATGCCTGTAATCTGATCTCTTTGGGAGGCTGAGGTGAGAGGATCACTGGAGCCCAGGAGTTCAAGACCAGCCTGGGCAACACAGCGAGACTCCCATCTCTACAAAATAAAAAATAAAAATTAGCCAGTTGTGGTGGCATGCACCTGTAGTCCCAGCTACTTGGGAAGCTGAGATAGGAGGATCACGTGTGCCCAGAAGTTGAAGGCTGCAGTGAGCTATGATAGCACCACTACACTTCAGCTTGGGTGACAAAGCAAGACTTTATTTCAAAAAATGAATAAATGCCAGTTGTTGTAGACTCATCTTATACCCTGTCATAGCTTTATGTACTGTCTGCTGATGCCTTCCCAGTTTATAGTACAGAATCTAAAAACAAACACATACACACGTATACACACAGCCACCATTTGCTATCTCCACTTAAAGATGTATAAGGGATCTCAAACATACCTTATATAAAGCACAACTTCCCCTTGCCTCCCCCAAAGATACTGTATACTTCCTACCTTCCTTTATAAGTCTTACTCATCTCAGTAAAGTAGCCTACTCATTTGCTTAGTCCAAAACCACAAGAGGCTTTCCTCTCCCTCATTGTTCCCACCTCCATCCCTTTTCAGTCCTTGAGCTTGACCTGTCATCTCAAGGCCTTCCACTGGGCTTCACCTCCATAGCCATGACTCTAATCTTAGCTGATACCATGTCTTGCCAGATATGCTATGATGATGTCTCAACTCTTTCTACCCCTGGCCTCTTTTAATTCAGACTGATCTTTCAAAAACTTAAATCAGTTTACTTCCTTTCTTAATATTAAGTACCTTCCCATCATACTTAGACTGAAATCTAAACTCATGGTTCTCAAGGCCCTACATTATGTGGCCTCTGCATGTGTATCTCCTACTGTTCTCAGTGACTATGTTCCAGCCACAACAGCCTTTCTTTCCTAAACACAGCAAGATTTTTCTTATGTGTATTTGCTGTTTCCACTGCCTTCTTTTCCTCCTGCTCTTTCAGTGGCTGACTCCTTTGCAGTCTTTGATTTATATCAGATACACTCTATTTAAAAGAGCAATCCAACCTGAGTTACTCTCTATCACCTCACCCTGGATATTTCCTTCATGGCACTTATCACAATCTGAAATTTTGTACATATGTCTTCTCTTTTTAAAATTTTATTTCCCTGCACTAGAATGTAAGCTTTAAGAGGATAAGACTTACTCTGCTTTTGAGCTCTTATAGACTCAGTTCCTAGAACTATGGCATGGCACCATGGTAGACTGTCAACAAGTGCATATTGTTGAATAAGTTAATGCTTTCTTCTGAATACTTCAGTTATAACAGTGTTTTGTTTTAACACATTAACAGAACCAGGAAATATGTTCCTCTGGAATGGACCCCAATAGCGATGACAACTCCAGAAATTTATTTGTGAAGGATTTACCGTTAGTATCAAATTCTTTATTATGATTATTAATACTAAGAAAGATTTAATTCTGTGATTCATTTATGAAAGGAAATGTGCATCATGTCAACTCTTATATTTGTAGTCTGATGCTTTCTCTGCTGAGAATATATTTAAGAGAATTTGATGTGTTGAAATTCTATCACATATAGCCAAGCTAAACCCCTTTTTCTCATATTTCACTCCTTTTTTGATGCCTAGGAAAAAGAAGCCTTACCAGAATTTTTAATTCTACTTCATACTTTCCTTCAGTCATACTTTTCTGTGTACCATGTTTTTATTTTAAGAAGGATTAGCTATTGAAATGAGATGTTTTGCCAGCCCTATAAATAGTCTGGTTTGGGGGAAAAATAAATAAATAAATGAAACATCATATTTAACACAGTTGTCCCATTGTCTCGCTGATCCAGTTCATTTTTCTAGATCACCTATACCCTCGTCCCCTTCTCTTGGATCAAATGTACTTTATTTATTTGTTTATGAATTATTAAGCTTTAATTATAAACAGTAAAATGCACAGATCACAGTTACACAGTTTGATGAGTTTGACTAATGTATATATCGTGAAACAAAAATGTCAATGAAGACATAGTGTTTTTACTATTAACATTTTGGGCCAGATAATTCTTTGTTGTAGAGGGCTGTCTGTGCATGATGGGATGTTTAGTAGCATCCATAGCCTCCACCCAATGAATCCTAGTAACATCCCTCAGGAGAACAAAAAATGACTTCAGATATTGTCACATGTTCCCTGGAGAGCATAATTGCCCTTAGATGAGAACTACTGCCATAGACAGTTCTTTTGTATGCCTTTCAAGTCCATCCCCTTCTCCACAGAAGTAACCACTAAGATGATTTCTATTGCCGTAGATTACTTTTAATCATTAGTAGTTTTTAAACTGTTGGACTTTAAGATCTGACAAACTTATGTTGTGGACAAAAAGTAAGATAAGGTAATCGCGTTTGTAGAAGTTTTCTAAAATAGTTATTAGTTACCACAGCCATTACCTAAATCTGTTCAATGTCTAGAGTGGAAAATTCTCTACAGCGAATAAAGAATAAAATTACAATTAGAATGAAACTGCCAGTAATAGTGTTAGAGTATAAAGAACACTTCATGTTTCATGAAGTAAAGAACAACATTTTTAAAGAAAATGAACAATGTTAACTTCAGAAGAGTTCAATAGTTAAGCACCATAAAAGCATATATTACAAACAAATCATAGCTCTGCTAATGATAAAGCAGGCTCCTAAAGAGTGATCAAACTACATTTTTTAAAAAACATTTTACAAATTAATTATCATTGGCTGTTTCCTTAGTTAAATGAAATTGAGTTATATAACATGTTTTCAGGTGGAACTATCCAACTTGATAGGTTAGTTCTTCAAGTAGGAGTTGAATGTCATAACAAATCAATCTCCCTATAATCAGCATAAGTGTCCTTTGGTTTCCTTTGATACAGAATAGATGTATTGATTTGAAATCGAGTTATGAAATGATACTAAAGGAAAGAAAAATTAGGAAAATACTGAATTTGTTTTTATTACATAATCATTAAATTTCTGTTTTTTCATTGGTATTTTCTAAGGCAAATTCCTCTTGAAGAAACTGAACTTCCAGGACAAGGAGAGTCATTTCAAATAGAAGGTAATCAAGTGAAAATCTAAAAATATTATTAAGGGCAAGATAAGGTCTTTGAGAACAAATAATACAATTAAATTTCTCTAATTCTTTTTTCCTAAACTTTTTAAATTTGTTCATCTGGTATTCTCAAAGGAAATCTGTTTATTTTACACAGAGTAATAGAGTTTTAAAATATGTTTATTATGTCAAATCTGTAATCTGAAACTTTGGCTATAACTATGGCAGCAATTTACTGATTGCTACTATGTGTCAAGCTCTATGTTAAGCATTTTACCTGCATAATCTCACCTAACCCTCACAACAACCTAGGAATATAAGTACATTAGTCCCGTTTTATAGGAACTCAAGAAGGTAAAGTATCTCATATGAAGAAGTCTAGATGTTAAGAGCTAGTATTTAAAATCAAAGTTGAACTCCAAAGCTATCCCCTTCTTACTACTTTTAAATCGATATGTCTGTGTTCTCAAATGTCAATCTCCTCCACTTGAACTAAGCTTCGAAGAAGGGATAGTATTTGAATAGCAAAACCGGACATAGCCTCACTTTTCCTTAAAATACAGATTATATTTCTTACCTGAGAAGCTTTCTAGTTATCCAAATCTTATTTATTTTTCAAAGAACAACTTAGCTCCCACTTTCTCGTTTGTCCCACTCTGGAATATGCGGTTGTACTTCTCTGAATCTGTACTCAGTGAAACACATATTCATTTTCTTTAAAAGCACATAAAAGCCTGTTATAATTTTTTTTTTTTTTTTTTTTGAGACAGAGTCTCCTTCTGTTGCCCAGGCTTAGAGTGCAGTGGCGCAATCTCAGCTCACTATAAGCTCCACCTCCTGGGTTCATGCTATTCTCCTGCCTCAGCCTCCCAAGTAGCTGGGACTACAGGTGCCCGCCATCATGCCCAGCTAATTTTATATATATATATATATATATTTTTAGTAGAGACGGGGTTTCACCGTGTTAGCCAGGATGGTCTCCATCTCCTGACCTCGTGATCCGCCCGCCTCAGCCTCCCAAAGTTTGGGATTACAGGAGTGAGCCACTGTGCCTGGCCTATAATATTTTTAAAGATTATAAAGATTGAGTGTCCCTTATTCAAAATGCTTGGGACCAGAAGTGTTTTGGATTTATTTTTTTAATTTTGGAATATTTACATTATATCAGTTCATCATCCCCAATTTGAAAATCTGAAATCCAAAACCCTCCAGTTAGCATTTCCTTGGAGCATCATGACTGTACTGAAAAAGTTTTGGATTTCATATTTTCAGATTAGGGATACTGAACCTGTACAAGATTCTTTCACATGTCAGATATAAGCCATCAGTTGATCATTGACAAGTAAATAGATGGTATTATTTTAGTTCCCCAGATTTTTATTTACAGATTTTATAATGTAGGAAAACTACCGAATGATTTTTGGTCATTCAGTTTTTTACTTTGAATTCTAAAGTTCTTGAAATTCAATTTTCCACAAAGTCAAACTATTTTTCTAATTTATTTTTTAAATTCTCAGATCAGATACCTACTATTCCTCAAGAAACACTGGGATTTGATTTTGATTCAGGTGAAGCTAAGTCCACTGATAATGTCTTACCTAGAACTGTATCTGTCCGTAGTAGTTTAAAGAAACATTGTAACAGTGTATGTCAGTTTGATGGCTTGGATGATTTTGAAACCAGTCATTTGGCGGGGAAGTCTTTTGAATTCGAAAGAGTTGGATTTTTAGACCCACTACTAAACATGCCTGAAAATGTACAATACAATGTTTGTCAATGGAGCAAGGACCAAGCTAACTTATCACTTTCAAAGCTGATTCATCCAGGAACGTTTACTAAAACAAAAGAAGACATTTTAGAATCTAAATCTGAACAAACTAAAAGTAAGCAAAGAGATACACAAGAAAGAAAAAGAGAAGAGAAAAGAAAAGCTAACAGGAGAAAATCAAAACCTATATCAAAATATAAAGAGAATAAAAGTGAAAATAAAAGAACTGTTTCCAAAAAGAAAATGCACAAATCTGTCAGTTGCAATGATGCTTACAATTTTAATTTGGAAGAGGGTGTTCATCTTACTCCTTTCCGACAAAAAATGAGCAATGACTCTAATAGAGAAAAAAACAATGAGTCTGAAGTGAGCCTCTGTGAATCAAGTGGTTCAGGAGATGATTCCGATGACCTCTATTTGCCCACTTGCAAGTACATTCAGAATCCCACCAGCGATTCAGGTACAAGACCAGTCACCAGGCCTCTAGCTAAAAGAGGACTGAAATATACAGATGAAAAAGAGACGGAGGGTTCTAAGCCAACAAAAACTCCTACTAGTAAGTGATCTACTTGTTTACCTGCGTTTTTAATGTTTGTGATAAATGATCACTCCTGATGCTTATATACTATACTTACCATCTGTTTCTCTGGTGGAGGTTGGAGACTTACCATCTGTCTCTCTTTGGGGGAAGTTATGGTCTGATTAAACAGTGTGGGGCTGGGTGTGGAAATCACAGTTGTATTGCTCTGACCTAATTCAGAGATTGCTTGTTGTGGAGACAGAATTTTTATTTTCAGTAAATAAGGACTCCCAAGAGGACAGAGGGACTCTTTTGTGGAGTTAGGTTGAATTAAAGTAGCTTTTATACACTTACCTGAAGTATCCCCTTGAAAGTGAAATCAAATTTGAATCCAGTGACTTGTTATTTTAATGGCCTTGTTTTATATTAAATTTGACAGGAACTATGATTTTAAATAATCTTCTAGTTAGTGAAGATTTCCTCAATTGATAGACTTAGTATTCTTTTGTACAACATCTCTAAAAACTGGCTCAGAAAATATTTTATGAGATCAAAAGTAGGCATAGTTCAGATGTTCATAATACAACCTACACCTGTCCACAAAGATTCTCATTTGGCAGTTTTAGTTAATACAAGTAAAACTAACATACATAGTCAAGTTGTATCATTTTCAAAGTATTGTTATATCATTTTATTTGATCCTCAGAACAATTCTGTGAAGTACAGGTGTTATGATGCTTATTTTGTTTATAAGGAGATTAAAACCTTAAAAACCGAACCAACTTTCTAAATCGGCTAGTCAGTGGTAGCAGGCAAGTATCTTCTTAAAAAATATGCTGTAGGCTGGCAGGGTTGGCTCATGCCTGTAATCCCAGCACTTTGGGAGGCCGAGGTAGGCGGATGACCTGAGGTCAGGAGTTCGAGACCAGCCTGGCCAACATGGTGAAACCCCATCTCCACTAAAAATACAAAAAAATGAGCTGGGCGTGGTGATACACACCTGTAATCCCAGCTACTCGGGAGGCTAAGGCAGGAGAATCGCTTGTACCCAGGAGACAGAGGTTGCAGTGAGCCGAGACTATGCCATTGTGCTCCAGCCTAGGCAACGAGCAAAACTCGGTCTCAAAAAAAAAAAAAAAAATCAAACAAGATTGGCAGAGTGTTGATAATTATTGAACCTAGGTAACTCAGAGTTTATTATACTGTTATTGCCATCTTTGTGTACATTTGAAAATGTCCAGAAGAAGTTGGGATTTTTTGGTGGTTGTTCACTTTTTAATTGAGACAGGGTCTTGCTCTATCACCCAGGCTGGAGGGCACTGTCACTGTCATGGCTCAATGCAGTCTCAACCTCCCAGGCTCAAGTGATTCTTCCACCTCAGCCTCCCCAGTAGCCGGGACTATAGGCATACCTGGCTAATTTTTTTTTTCTTTTTTTTTTACTTTTTGTAAAGATGAGGTCTCACTGTGTTGCCAGGGTGGTCTCAAATTCCTGGGCTCAAGCAGTCCTCCTGCCTTGGCCTCACAAAGTGCTGGGATTACAGGTGTGTGAGCCTGTATCCATAAAAATACATAAAATCCATAAAAAATACATTTTTAAAAGAAAAAAATATACTCTAAAATAGTGTTACTCAAGAGTTTGATCCCTAGACCTCTTAGAAAAGCAGAATCTCAGGCCATATCCCATACCCTGGAGTCAGAACCTGCATCTTTGTGGGGTTGTTTTTTTTTTTTGAGACAGAGTTTTGCTCTTGTTGCGCAGGCTACAGTGCAGTGGCACGATCTCAGCTCATCCCAACCTCCACCTCCTGGGTTCAAGCTATTCTCCTGCCTCAGACTCCCGAGTAGCTGGGATTACAGGCATGTGCCACCACGCCGGGCTAATTTTGTATTTTTAGTAGAGATGGAGTTTCTCCATGTTGGTTAGGCTGACCTGAAACTCAACCTCGGGTCTCCCAGAGTGCTGGGATTACAGGCGTGAGCCACCGTGCCTGGCCACTAAGAAGTCCTCCTGTGGATTCATATACACATTAAAGTTTGAGAAGCATTTTTCCAGAATGTAGCAACCGATCTGATGTTGTTCCATAAGATATATTTCTCAAACCGAAAGTTGGAATAATTAATACAGTACAATATATTTATGTGGCAACAAACAGGACAGACTATAAAAACCAGATAACACTGGAGCATATGGCTCTTAGTATACAGTCATTTCACGGTTATAGTTTACTTTTTTGGGGGTACAGTTTGCTTTTTAAAGCTATTTGAGGAGATTGTTTTGCAGTGTCTTTATTATGTGTTGGACATTTGCCTTCCAATATAGGTGTAGCTCCAAAGTATACTTGGATGTTTATGATGGGAAAAAAACTGAGTAACTTTTTAACATGCTAGTTTGTCTCCTGGTTTACACAGAAGCTGTTATTTAGAATTCTCATTTGTTTAATAGAAGGAATTTTAGCGGCTTTATAAGACTATAGGAAGAGACTTGATAAAAACCTTGGTATTGAAAGAGAGAGGACTTGATTCCAAATAGCAAGGTATGACTAAAATGAAATTCCATGGTTAAACTAACTTATTATGCCCAAGCTATCCTAGAAGAATTTTACGTTTTAGTGAAGTGTTCTGTTATAATTAATATTTCAACAATGGTTTGAAAGGAAGAGGAAAAAATGATGAAAAAGCCAAAAAAAAAAAAAAAATGTATTATCGGCCGCACATGGTGGTGCACACCTGTAGTCCCAGCTCCTCAGAAGACTGAAGCAGGAGGATTGCTTGAGACCAGGAGGTGGAGGTTGCAATGAGCTGAGATCACACTACTGCACTTCAGCCTGGGCAACACAATGAGAGCCCATCTAAAAAAAATTCTGTTATTAAATGCTGGATTTTGTATACAGTTAAGATATATAAAATTGAGTACAATTTTAGTTCCTGTGTGGGTTTTTTTTAAATCATTCAGTAAAAATTATTTTGTAGGTACACCACCTGAAACTCACCAGTCACCTCATCTTAAACTGAAGGATATCACCAATGTCTCCTTGTATCCTGTTGTGAAAATCGGAAGGCTTTCTCTTTCTCCAAAAAAGAATAAAGAAAGCCCAGCAGTGGCTCTGCCTAAACGTAGGTGCACTGTCAGCGTCAACTATAAGGAGCCCACCCTCGCTTCGTAAGTATTTGGTTTGTGGGAACTTATTTTTAATGATACATGTCGGGGGAATAAGGTTATGGAGCTTTGTTCAATAATGAGTTTTTTCTGAAATAAAAACATTTGATTTTAAAAAACTGAAGTGGTAACATTTAAAATTGGTGTATTTTACCATAACTTGATACTGAGGAGTAAGTTAATATTGGGATGCTTATATTATGCCTGAGATCTCTTTTTACTCTTCCAGGAAACTGAGAAGAGGGGACCCTTTTACAGATTTGTGCTTTTTGAATTCTCCTATTTTCAAGCAGAAAAAGGATTTGAGACGTTCTAAAAAAAGTATGAAACAAATACAATGAATGTTTTGTTGGATATTGTTTAAATTCAATCTACACCTCTTTCTGTTGCTTCAAGAGAAGATCTGTAAGAGCACACAGAGTGAGCCATTGCCATAGAATATTCTCTTGACAGGACCCTAGCTCATAAATGTTTCTTCAGAACTATGCTTCAAATGGGATGTTTTGTATTAAAATGTTAATAAATCTAATTTGTTTTTTCTTTTGAATATAAATAACTGAATTTAAGCATTATCATCATACCGATTTCTTATGCTGCCTAAACCTCTTAATGTTGGTCAAAATGTATCTTTTTTTGTTGTTGTTGTTTTGGAGACAGAAATTCATTCTTGTTGCCCAGGCTGGAGTGCAGTGGCGTGATCTGAGTTCACTGCAACCTCTGCCTCCCAGGTTCAAGCTATTCTCCAGCCTCAGACTCCCGACTAGCTGGGACTACAGGCATGCGCCACCACGCCCAGCTAATTTTGTATTTTTAGTAGAGACAGGGTTTCTCCATGTTGGTCAGGTTGGTCTCGAACTCCCAACCTCAGGTGATCTGCCCACTTCAGCCTCCCAAAGTGCTGGGATTACAGGCATGAGCCACTGCACCCGGCCCAAAATATATCTTATACAAACATTTTAGAAATGAATAATGATTACTCAAATTAAGATATTTTCGTTATAAGCTTCTGGCATCTCTATTTTTCCCTTAAGTGGGGGATACTAAAGTGAATGATTTTCTAAGAGGATCTTTTGAAACCCTTCAGTACAGTATTTAAGTAAAATAAGTTATTGTGGATCTTTTGAAACTCTGTGTAGTATTTGAGTAGAATACATTTTTGATATTTACAGTAGGGTACACCCTAAGTTGTTTATGAATTCCTCATACCACTGTTGTATTTAATTTTTCAGATAAAATGTGTATGGAAAAATGACTAGAGAAATTTATTGTTTTTTAGGCTCAGGGACTAGGTAAGTGACTAGTTCTGAACCCCAAGCTCTAATTGTATGTTCAGAGTGATGCCTCAATAAAATTACAAATGTCATGTACTTTCAGGATAGCTCCTTATTTAGTCAGAAATCTCAAAGATTAAATGTGTGAATATTTAGGGTTTTTGCATATTTTTGATCAACCAACGAAAGGGAATTAGTTCAGTTCAGAAAGTTTGATGTCTATACTTGTATATACCTCTTTAAATTTTAAAACTTTGTAGGTTATTCATTTTTAAAGAGCAATAAAGCTTGTATAAGATAGTGACTGCTTTCCTTCTATTCTTTAAATATCAAAAATAGAATATCTCTCTGTCTTCACTATTCTCATCCTTGGACATTTCCTCTCCCCTCCCCTTGGTATTCTCTTTTTTGGGGGCGGGGGTGTGATCTAGGTGAGTTAATCCTTAGTATTTTCAGTAGTCATTGCTGTGAAACTCTCAGCTTCCCCTCCATACTTTCAGCCTAACACTTCTCTCTCCCAACTTTTCTCTGTGTAATCTCCCAGTTCATGATTCACAAATTATAATTTTATGGGGGGACCGTTCTAATCCTGATATCTCAGATTTTCTTGGCTGTTATCTCCCTATCTTTCTGTATTCTATGTCAGTTAGAGCCGAAATCCTTTTCATCATCCCCGATTTTTCTAGCCCCCTCATCACTGATTCATATACCCTAGTCTCCCATCACAGTCTCTTAATTTTTCAGTTTTTTTTCTTACTACTCTCCCTTTATACTTATTCTTTAAATTCATGGAAACACTAGAGTAGCTATCTTAAACTAAGACTAGACAGTAAAAAAGTCCGTTTCTCTGCTGGGCGGGTGGCGCACGCCTGTAATCCCAGCACTTTGGGAGGCCAAGGTGGGCGGATCACGAGATCAGGAGATCGAGACCATTCTGGCTAACACAGTGAAACCCCGTCTCTACTAAAAATACAAAAAATTAGCCAGGCGTGGTGGGGGGCACCTGTAGTCCCAGCTACTCGGGAGGCTGAGGCAGGAGAATGGCGTGAACCCGGGAGGCGGAGCTTGCAGTGAGCGGAGATCGCGCCACTGCACTCCAGCCTGGGCGACAGAGCGAGACAATGTCTTAAAAAAAAAAAAAAAAAGGGGTCAGTTTCTCAATCCCTGTAACCGCCTTTCAAGTGATCAGTAGCTACATGTGGCTGTATTAGACAATTGAGGAAATATTGAACATTTCCATCATCACAGAAAGTTCAGTTGGACCATGGCCAAATCTAGCACACCACCTGCTTCAGGATGGCCTATAAGCTAAGAAGAGTTTCTACGTTTTTAAATAGTTGAAAAAAAAAAAGCAAACACTTGAAATCAATTTTAGTGATAGAAGCACTAACTTTGAACCCCAGTAAAGTACCTACATTATATTCTTGAGTTTGCCTCTTGGCCTACAGTCCTAAAATATTTACTTTCTGGTCTTTACCAAAAAAGTTTGCCAACTCCTGCTCTAGACCATTGAGTACTTTAATTTTGCCTTAAAGATCATTCTGCTCTGACACTCTGATCTAGCTGTGATCCTTCCCTTACCTTCATCACAAGAGTCAATCATTATCCTAAAATCAGTGTTAAAGTGTTTGTATTTTTAATTTTCCTATAATCTTGTCATATTTATCCATAGGCTTTTAAGTATTGTTTTATATCTTAACATTTTATATGAATATTATGTTGTACGTATCATTTTACAACTGACTTTCAGCATTGTTTTTGAGATTTATCCATGTTGGCAGATGTAGATTATTTTCATCATTGTACAGTTTATTATATAAATCAGACATACTCATTTCTTCTTTTCAGACACAATTCATTTCCACTTTATTATTTACAAATTAGTGCTGCAGTGAACATTCTGCATCTTTGTACACTTAAAATGCTTAACTTTCTATAAAGTTAATACCTAGAAGGGGAATTGCTCGGTTGTAGAGTATATTGAACTGTAGGAAATTGCTTCCTACAGTGGTTGCACCAATTCTGTTATAAGGAGTATATCACTGTCCTAACAGCAATTTCTAAATTCCAGTAGCAGCACACGCTGTCAATCACTTAGTTTTATTAGACATTAAAATTAGCCAAGCCAGGAAGTATGAAGTTATTTCTCTCTCTGTTTTAATTACTATGAACTTGTATCTCATTGATTTAATTACTTATGAGAATTCAAGTGTTTATTATTCTCATTTCTTCCTTTATGAATTATTATACCTTTTCCCTGCTTTTCTACTAGAATGTAAAACTATGGATTTTTTATATAGTCTACATACTAGTCCTTTTTTCTGTTTACGTGTATTCTAAGTATCTTTCTTCAATCTCTGCCCTTTTTTATACCTTGCTTATAATTCCCTTTGATATTTAGAAGCTTGAAATATTAGTATCCTCTACCACCTTTTTTCTTAAGATTTTGTCTAAAATTTGTACAGTTTTGTTTTTCGCTTTAAGGTCGTTAAACCATATGGCATTTATTTTGAGTACTAGGGATCTAATTTTATTTTTTCCCACGAGGATAACCAGTTGTCCCAGCAGAATTCATTGACTAATGTCTTCTTTCCCCACTGCTGAATATTCCTAGCTTTGTCATAGAATGAGCTTCTTTCCATTGCTTTGTTTAGCTTTATGCTGGGTATATTGTATAGTCACAATTTTTTGTGTGTTGGTGGAGGTGGTAAATGTACATAGAATTTATCATTTGATCTTTTTAGGTTTTTTTTTTTTTTTTATTCTCATTCTGTCACCCAGACGGCAGTGCAGTGGCCAATCATAGCTCACTGTAGCCTCAAACTCCTGGGTTCAAAGGATCCCCTTAACCTAGGACTACAAGTGTGCACCACTGCACCTGGCTAATTTTTTTTTTTTTTTTTTTTGGTAGAGCTGGAGACTGTTTGTGTTTCCTAGGCCTGTCTTAAACTCCTGGCCTCAAGCAATCCTCCCATCTCAGCCTCCCAAAGTGCTAGGATTGCAGGCATGAGCCACCACACCTGGCCATTTTGATCATTTTATTTGTAAAGTTCAGTAGCATTAAGTACATTCAGTAGCATTAAGTACATGATTGTACACCCTTTTCCAGAACTTTTTCTTCTTTCCAAACTAAAACTCTGTACCCATTAAACAATCACTCTGCCTTCTCCTCTCTCTCCCAATCTCTGGTAACCACTACTTTTACTTTCTATCTCTATGAATTTGACTGTTTCAGGTAACTAACAGAAATGGAATCATAGGATATTTGTCCTTTTGTGTCTGGCTTATTTAACTTAGCATAATAACCTCAAGGTTCATCCATGTTATAGCATGTATCAAAATTTTATTCCTTTTTAAGGTTGAGTAATATCTCATTGTATGTATACATATTTTCTTTATCCATCAATGAACATTAAAGTTTGTGTATCTTTGAAGAAATGTCTATTCAAATCCAATAGGCTATTTTTCGTTGTTGTGTTTTAGGCTGTATATATATTAGATATTAGTCCCTTATCAGATACGTGATTTCCAAATGTCCTCCCCCATTCTGTGGGTTGCCTTTTTACTCTGTTGATAGTGTCCTTTGATGTACAATAGTTCTGAAATTTGATTGAATCCAATTTGTCTATTTTTTTCCTTCTGTTTTCTTCTAAGTCATAATTCTTTTAATACATAGGTAGGATTTGTTTGCTAACTTTTTTTTTTTTTTTTTGAGAGGAGTCTCGCTCTGTCAGCCAGGCTAGAGTGCAGTGGTGCAATCTCGGCTTACCTCAACCTCCACCTCCTGGGTTCCGGCGATTCTCCTGTCTCAGCCTCCCAAGTAACTGGGATTACAGGCGTGTGCCCACCATGCCCAGCTAATTTTTGTATATTTAGTAGAGTTGGGGTTTCACCATGTTAGCCAGGCTGTTCTCAAACTCCTGACACCAAGTGATCCGCGTGTCTCGGCCTCCCAAAGTGCTGGGATTACAGGCGTGAGCCACCACGCCCGGCCAACATTTTGTTTAGGATTTTTTGTGTCTATGATCATGACTAAAATTTGCCTATATAATTTCTTGTATATACCTTGTATTTTTGGTATCTGTGGGAACAAGTTGTACCTATTGAGAGTTTGGTGAACTTGACACCAAAACCATCTTATCTTTCTATGCTTTCATGGGGAAATTTTGTACCATTTTTTTAATGATTATAAGTCTTACAGGTTCTCTAATTATTAAATCTGTTTAATTTTTCTCCCTTGGGAGTTGTAAATGTACATGTATTGTGATAACTGCTATAATTTTACTTTTATTGAATTTTTTTTTTTTGCTTTCTATCTGCTACAATTTGGTTTCTCCAAGTCCCATGTTGAAATCTGATCACCAGTGTTGCTGGTGGGTCTAATGGCAGGTGTTTGGGTCATGGGAACAGGTCCCTCCTGAATGAATTAATGCCCTCACTGGGAGGAGGAGATAAGTAAGCTCTCACTCGATTAGTTCCCCAGACAGCTGGTTGTTTAAAAGAGACTGGTGCTACTTCTCTCTTGCTTCCTTTCTTTCCATGTGATCTCTGCACGTGCCAGCTCCCCTTTGCCTTCCAGCATGAGTGGAAGCAGCCTGAGACTTTCACCTCATGCCCAATCTTCCAGCCACCAGAATTGTAAGCCAAGTAAACATTTTTTCTTTATAAATTATCCAGCTTCGGGTATTCCTTTATAGCAACACCAGTGAACTAAGAAACTACTCTACTTTTTCTTTATGTCATTTTGATAATGGTCAAATTCTGTGTTTCCCTTAAAATGAATTTAATTTTGCCCTCATTCCTGAGGTATAGGTTAAGAGTTACTAATTTTCTTACAGACTTGATTTTGTTGTTGAGAAGTCTAGTCATTCTAATTTTTCTTCATATTTTGTTAGTTTGTCCCTTCGCAACTTATATTCTTGACTTGTTATAAATGTATTATTTTTAATTTTCAGTTATTTTGCTGCTAGTTTATGGAATACAACTGATTTTCATACCTAGACCTTGCTAAATTCACTCACTAGTTCTACTACCATTTTTTGCAGTTCCATTAGGATTTTTTTTGTACATGATCTTAAAGTCTACACATAAAGGCAATTTACTTCTGTCTTTCTGTTTTGCATGTATTTTCTTACTTTACTGCACTACTAGAACTTCCTCCATAATGTTGAATAGGGGTGAGAAGAGCCCTTGTCTTTGCCTTTTTCTCGACTTTGGGAGGAAGCATTTGGTCCTAGGGCATTACTGTGATATTAGCTGTAAGTGATCACTAATAACCTCTCAGACTGAAGATATTTCCTTGTG